GGGGGGGGGGGGGGGGGCGGCGCGTGCCGCTTCAGGGCAGCGCGTGTCCGGTCTATGCAGTTGGCTTGGCATCGCAGTATGGGGCGGTCATTGCTGCACAGGCCATGACTGATGCAAGCGCACCTTCACCCCTTCGACCCTGCCACCACTCACACCCCCTTTCCCCTGGAAAACCCTGACACCTGCCAGGCTGTGTTCGAGCTAGACCTGGAGAAGCAGCACCTGAGGGAGCGCCTGCTGCAAGCAGAGGCCTTTATGGCCCGCCTAAGGAGGCCGCGCGGCGGAGCGGGCACGGCTGCAGCCCCCCGCCTGCCGGCACAGGCAGAGACACAGCGGCCCCTGCTGCTTACTGCAGGGGCGAGAGCGCCTGCTTTGCCGTGCACACCACCATCGGCGCTGGCGGCGGCGAGAGATGGAGCCGGCGGCGCCAACGCTTCTGATGATGCAGCCACGCCGCTGTTTGACCTGGCGCCGCTGAGTGTGGCGCTGGCGGTGGCGCCAATCTCCCCCGCCATGCAACGCGCGCGCGATGCGCCGGCTGCGGCCTCGCGCTGGGCTGCTGTGCGCGAGGAGCTGGCGCTGGTGGTGGAGGGCCACAAGGGGCTGGCCTCAGGGCTGGCGCGCACCAAGAGCGCACTCTCCGTGCTGGGCCAGAAGCTCGTGGAGGGACAGGCCTCCGAACCAGGGATGGCGGGGCCGGCCGCCGCCGCTACCGCCCTGCCTGCCAGCAGCGCGACGAGCAGCGCCCGCAGCGCAGCCGCGCCATGCGCCCGCGGCGTCGGGAGCGCCCGCAGGCGCTCCGAGGCAGCGGCGCGGCCGGCTGTGGCGGGCGCCGCGGCGGCGGCGGCCGCTGCACGAGCCAAGGCGGGGCAGGGTGCACCCACGGGCTTGCCAGCGCCATCGAGGCCTGGTGCCCGCCAGCTCCCCATTGGGACGTCAGCAATTTGCGGCGGCGGCTCGGCCAGCTCCCACGCTACGCCGCCAGCTGGGCATGTGCATGGGCACAGCGTAGCCATCACGGCCGGCCTGCAGCCAGCGCACAGCCTGGGCGAGCGCCTGGGCGTTCGCCTCGCAACGTCTGTGCTGGCCCGCTCTATGTCTGGGGAGCCGTCCCCTCAGGCACGTGGCAGCAGCGCGCGGCAGCCAGCCGGCCGTGACCTCGCAGCACTGCGACGCAGCGCCGGAGCTCTGACTCTCGGCAGCCGCGTGGCTGCGGGTGCGGGCACTGCCGCCGAAGACGGCACCGCCACAGTGCGCCGCTCCGCGTCGGCGCGCTTGGCCTTAGCCAGCGCCGGCAGCGGGGCGTCACGCAGCGGGATCACTGGCGGCGCCCGCCCAAGCGCCGGTGGCAGCCCCAGCGGTCGTGCGGCTGCGCTGGCCAGCCGCTCTCTTGCCGCCCGGGCCGGCGCTGGCGAGGCTGCGCTGGGGTGGGCGTCAGGAGGGCAGGCGTCTGTGGTGGGCCCCAGGAGCGCAGACAGGGGTTTTGCCTTTGCAGTGAAACCGCCCAGCCGGCCCAGCCCTGCCGGCATCAGCGTCGCCCGCTCACTGGGCGCTGCCAGCGTTACTGCGCCCAAAGGGAGGCAGCAGCAGCACCAGCAGCAGCAGCAGCAGCAGCAGCAGCAGCAGCAGCAGCAGCAGCAGCAGCAGCAGCACCAGCAGCATCAGAAGACGCAAACGCAGCAGCGGCGGCTGCAGCAGAACCAGCAGGTGGCGCAGCAGCAGGTGAAGCAGAAGACACAGCAGCCGGTGGAGCAGCGGCGGCCTGCTGTGGCTTCAAAGCCAAATTCACAGGCCGAGCGGGGGTGCCACGCCCCCAGGGAGCCCGGCGGGTCCCCCCACATCCTGAGCAGCAGGGAGCACTCCCCTGTGCGCAGCTTTGCTGCATCAATGGCCGCGGCTGAGGAGCAGGAGGTGCATGTGCAGGGCAGCGACGAGCAAAACATCCCAGGGGCAGATGCGGCCACCAGAGCCCCGGCAGCAGGTGCTGCTGCTGCTGCTGCTGCTGCAAAAGCTGCGCGTTGCAGTCAGCAAGGGGCTCGGCCGTACTTCCCAGCTGAAGCGGCTGGCGAGGCGCTCCTTGAGCGCATGTGCCCTGCAGGTAGCACCAGCGAGGGCCCCGGCTCCATCAGCTGTGCGGCGGGGCTGCTGGAGGGGGCCTGGGGCGCCGAGTACATCGGCGCAAGTTTCGAGAGTGGCGGGGCCGAGGGCAGGCGCAGGCGGATGCAGGCGGGCCAGGCTGGGATGGAAGGCAACGCTGAGTTGGTGGAGGCTGCGAACAGCGCTGCCTGCAGCAGCGGCGGCGTAAGCAGAGAAGAGACGGCAGCAGCCAAGCCCCATTCGGTGCTGTCCCTGGTGGAGATGTCAGGCGGCGAAGCCGCGGCGGCCGCGCCAGTCGCCGATCTTGCGACAAGGGCGTCATGTGGCATTGTCGGCCCCACGCAGGCGCCCGCAGGAGATGAAATGCTCACGCCGCCGCGTCCCCACCAGGCCCCCCGCCCTCAGCAGCAGCAGCAGCAGAAGCAGCAGCAGCAGCAGCAGCAGCAGCAGCAGCGGGCCAGCAGCAGCGCCATCGACGCCATTGACTGGGGCAGCGTCCTGGGCGTGTTGTCTGGGGGGCCTGCTGTGGCTGCTGGTACTCCCGGGCATGGCATGCTGAGCGCCCAGGCCAGCGGCATGGGAGCGACAACACCCGGTGGCGGCTTTGGCGTGCGCCTCTCCTTCGACGCCAGCCACGGGCAGCAGCCAGACTGGGAGAGCGTGCTGGGCGTTCTGGGCTGTCCAACCCCAGCCGGCGCTGGCGGCGGTGCCACTGCCACAATGGGCGGAGCAGGCGCGGCGCCGTCGCCAACGCTAGCGCTGGCTAGTGCAGCCGCATGCGCCCCTGGCCTGAGCGGGAGCGGGTCCAACGGAGCGGCACCTGTGCGAGAGGGCGGCAGCCTGCCAGGTCTCACTGCTGCCACCCCACCTGGTGGGTGCGTGTTGTCGCCGGCGGCAGGCAGTTGCACCGCGCCAGGCAGCATCAGCCAAGGTGAGAATGCCAATGGGCGCTTGCGACAAACAGCTGCACACTTTGACATATGTTGTGTGGATGACAAGCACGCCGTCTGATGCAATGCTAACAAAAACATCTGTCGGCACCAGCATCCTACCTAGCTCCCCCCTCCCACAGCCACCACCACCCTTACCGCCACCCACAGGTGCTGGTGTGGCGGAGCCAGGCTCCCCCATGGCGGGCGCCAGCCCCCCGTCTGCTGTGGCGTTGGGCGCCCTGGAGGCCATGCTGTTTGGTACGCCCGGAGGGACACCCAACGGCGGGGTGCCCGGCTGCACGACACCCGCGGCGCACCCCACCCCAGCGACAGCCGCGTCGGCTGCAGGTGCCTGGATCCGCGGCGCCAGCGGACGCGAGCTGACGTCCAAGAGTGGGTCAGAGGCGCACTCTGGAGTGGAGGACGACATGGGGGATGGCAACGGCCTTGTGCGGCTGGCAGCGCCCGGCGGCGCGCCTGGGGGCGCTGTGGCCCGGCCGCTGGCGATTCGCACCAGCCGCAGCAAACAGGCGCAAGCGGCCGCCGCGCAGCTCCTGGGCGTGGGAGCTGGCGGCGACGCCAGCGCCGGGTCCTGCTCCCCCTACAAAGAGTTCAACCAGCTGCGCCGTCGCGCCATGGCGCGCGCCGCTGTGGCAGCTGCAGGCGCCCCTGGCGCTGGCCCCAGCCCTCTGGGGGATGATGGTGGCGCAGGCATGGACAGCCCCTGCGTGGCGGGTGCAGCCGCAGCAGCTGCGGCGCAGCTGGCCATGCCTCCCAGGCCCGAGTGCCCCACCCCCGGGTCAGAGTGGAGCCTGGACTCGGGCCGCGCATCGCCCGACACAGCCAGCGTCGGAAGCGTGTCCGGATCCTGCTTGGGCGCCGCCGACGCCGCCATCCCTGCTGGCAGCGCGGCGGCGGCCGCGGTAGCGCCACCTGTGCGCACATCTCGCTTGGGCGGGCCGGCGCTGCCGGCAGGCAGCAGGCGTACGCACCTCGGCTTGTTGGCAGCACCAGCGGCAGCGGCCCCGCGCGAGCTGGCTGGGGATCAATGCGGTCATGGCCTGTCCAGCTGGGCTGCTGCCGCGCGTGACCTGGAGGATGACGGGGACAAGGTGGTGCTTGGGGGGGACGGCGGCGACGGCGACGGCGACGGCGACGTGGAGGAGGGGACAGATGAGGGGGAGGTGACGGCCGGTGGCAGCTTTGAGCCACTCACCGCGGGCGCCCTGCTGGACCGCTCCGCGATGTCGCGGCTGCTGACGCCATCGGTGCAGGTGCAGCTTGTGTTTGGCGCTTGCGAGGAGGAGCAGGAGGAGAAGGACGGCCTTGAGGCGCAGCGGCGCGGGGGACCGGCTGAGGAACCAACGTCGAGCGGCGTCCGCAGCAGTGGCAGCACGGGGTTGACGGCGGCGGAAGCCGTGGCGTGCCAGCCGCTGGACCATGTTGAATCCACCGTGTCTGTGGAGGAGGTGGAGCGCATCTTGCTGATGGGGGATGCAGCCGACAGCGAGTCGAGTGGCAGCAGGCTGCAGCACGCCGCCTCGGGCGGATTGGCGCCGCAGGCCGCGTGGCAGGAAACACAGCTGCACCCAGGTGGCCTTGGGCCGCCAGCGCACGCCGCGGCAGAGCGCTCGGCGAGCCCCCTTCCCGTTGACCTGTCGGGGCTGTTGGCGCAGTACCGCCAGCAGGCGCAGCAGACGGCTGCGGTGCTGAGCGGGATCGCCACCGCCAGCACGCGCCAGGAGGAGGCGCTGCGGCGCTCTGGCCACGCGCAGGGCGAGGGCGGCAGCGGCGAAGGGCGCAGAGGCTGGGTGGCTGCCGAGCTGCCTGTGGCAGATGGCGGGGCCAGACCTGCGAGCAGCACTGCCAGTAGCGAGGGCCGGCCCGCCCTGGAATCCGTCCGCCTGGTGACTGCAGCCACCCAGGTCTCATGCACAGCCGGCAGTCACAGGGCCCTCAGCGACGAGACGCCCTCCCATCAGGCGCAGCACAGCCAGGGCGCAGCAGCTGCGTCCAACGACGGTGCGCCCCTCGCATCCCGCGGCTGTGGTGTGCAGGCGCTGCTGGACCTGGCCGAGTCACTGACACCGCTGCCTGCTCCATGGACGGCGGCTGCAGGCAGGGGAGGCGGCCCTGAGCAGGGTGATGGTGCGGAGGACGATGCGCCGCGGCGGCGGCGCCTGGCTCCGCCACACAGTCACCTGGACGCGCAGTCGTTGCTGCAGCCGGTGCGTTCGCCTGAGAAGGGACGCCCCAGGGCTGCGGGCGCCGGCAGCGACGGCGCCTGTGGCGGCCACAGCGGCAGCGCTGAGGGCAACACTGGCACACTGCTGGGTGGTGCAGGCCGGCAGGCCCCCGCATTGGCTTTTGCACGCGCCTCAGGGCCAGACCAGTCGCGTGGTGTGGGCTCCAACGGGACGTCATGGTGCAGCCCCGCCGGTGGTTGCAGCAGCTTCGGCATTGGGGAGGGTGAGCGCAGGCTGCCCTCCCGTGGGACCCAGACAACGCCCATGCTGGGGCGTGGCGGGGCAGCGGGCGACGACGGCGAGGGCGCAGCCGACGCGCACACCCAGGTCACCCCTGGGCTGAGGGTTTGATTCAGATGTTGTCATTGAAATGGTGGTGGCAATGTGCTGTTGAGACTTTCACAAAGTGCTGGGTGCTCTTGAGACTGTGAACGCGCTGTAAATTTGTACTACCAGCGGTTATGCGGCCAGCGGCAGCACATGTGCGCGTCATATGGAGATCCAGCGCTCTGACATGGCCAGCTGTGTGACGACAACATATGGGCGGATCCGTGTCATTGGGTATGCCCGGGCCCAGGAGTGACGGTGTTGCAGTGTCAGCTCAGGTGCACCTCCACACCGTACTGATGCAGCAAACACCAGCCCGCCGACCACATCGCCAGCTGCAAATGGACCTCGCGTATCATAGAACAGCGTTTAGATTGCATGACCCCCTTTAGGAACGTTTCTATACACGCGTGGTGCACAGCAATCAAATGCGCAGCCTCAAGATTGAGGGGCATGCTGAGCGCGCTGCTGTAGGCCGGCTTGCATATAGGAAGCTGACGTTAATCTACGGCAGGACATGCAGGGACCAGCAACACAGTGCTGCCTCAGCAGTGGGCGGCATACCATCGCGCAATGTGCCGCCTGTGGTGCTTGGCCCATCGCGCGGCGCGTCCAGTGCTTGCCAGGCACAGCCCTCTGGTCAGGATCTCTGGACTCCAGACAGTGGTAAGCACATGGCAGGGACGCATTGCTCATGCATTGTGTTGCGGCTGGTACGGCGACGCCTCACTTCACGTCACCACCCTTGTCCTGCAGGCAGGGACTCAATGGAGGTGGCAGCGCAGCAGCTCTCTGCGTTTTGCGACGCTTTTCCTGAGCTGTCTGACGACCTTCAGGGTGCCCTGGCGATGCGGCTGCCAGGCGTGCTGTCCGCGCCGCATGCCGAGACGCGAGCGCGCCTGGAGCGGGTGGGGGAGCTGGCAGGGCTGGGGCTGGAGGCCACGGCGCGGCTCATGGTGAAGGTGTGTGCGTATGTGTGTGTTTGGTTGTCGGGAAGTTTGAATGCTGGCTGCTGCGCAGGTTTTGCTAGCCCTAGGATAGTGGGTTGGGATGGGTAGGCGGCGTATGAGGCGCCGCTCGACCCCACAGACTGCGGCGCTTTGTGCCGTCCTCGTCCCGAGCTCAGGCCTGAACAGGTGTGCAGCCCCCCCCCCCCGCACTGTTCCCATC